TGATTTTTATTGAGTTTTTGAATGTCAGACAGATATTGGAAATTTGATTATTTGAACTGCAGTTTATTTCCATTTCCTCTTGCACTAAAACTCATGCATACTTTTCTGAAGGAAGATAATTGCCTTCAGATTTTGGATGTCATATTCTGGTTTCAGTCAGTCAGAGAAAATAAGATAAATGTGTTTGATTTAAGATCATTAAGGGCATTTTATTGCTTTTGACTCCTGAACAATTCAGAATCATACTTTGACATAAATGGAAACATTATTTTAAAGTATTCTTCAATTCTGAAGATTTTACTCTAGTTCCTTTCCAATTTTCTATAGCAAAGAGGAAATACTATTACAAGGGTGTCAAACTTGCGTCATCACGTCATCACGTGATGTATTGCAACTTTTCCCCCTTCGCTAAAACGGGGCTGGGTGTGGCCAGTGTGTGTGATGCATCCAGTCCACGAAGAATCCAGCCTGTGTGTTTGACACCCCTGCATTATAATCTGACAGATAGTTTTGGCCTGGTCAGTTTTACAATAATATTTTCAGCAGGCTGTGTGAATAAGCTCTAAAGTTGTTTCTTTCTGATTTCTTTCAAAATGAACACTTTGGGAATTGGGGTGGGGACTCTGTAGCTCTTGAATATTTTTCAACTGTTTTGGGTGTTACTTTGGCAAAGTGCATGATCACATGAACATATACATATACAGCATTGACATAACTTTGGCTGTGGACTGATGTGATAAAAGGCAGGATTAATTTCTGCATGAATAGTTTTAGAATTAAATACATGTACTATGCGCACTTGAATCCAGTTATTTCCAGCAAATTCCCCTGCCAAGGCACTGAAAATCTAACTGCTGATCGTGTGATTTGTTAATTTGATATGGCTTGCCACATCCAAACAACGTGATGTGTTTGGTTGCTGTATTTTTGGAATTTGAAGAAGATAGTAGCCATGCTTTTACAACACTAAAAAAAGGACAATTTTTTCTTTGAAAAAAAAAATGTCTACCTCTTTTATTGTTGCAGACCAGAGCAATGTCAGAAATTAGTTTGGTTAGACAATGGTAGTGGAAAGACTTTATTTGGAAAAATCCCACTGTAGAATAAGCAAAGAACAATTGGCTCATATTCTTATACAAGAACTGAAAACAAAGCAGTGGTTGTATTCCAGCTCTACATTCAGTTACTGTACTTGTCTAAGGTCTAATAAGATCTCTAAAGCAACTGCATTTTCCCCCTTCTGTTCAATCATGCCTGATTCTCAGAAACTGCCTGGGCAAATCCCTGCAATTTGCTTGGCAACATTTTTCAGAAGTGGCTTTCCATTGCCTCCTTCTGAGGGCTGAGGGAAAGTAACTGGCCTAAAGTCACCCTGTTGGTTTCATGCCCAAGGCAAGAATAGAACCCACAGTCTCCTGGTTTCTAGCCTTAACCGTTATACCAAACTAGCTCTCAAGAGCAGATACATGGGTGAATATCATCTAAAAGTAAACTATACTTCCATCACTGTTAATTAGTTTGAAATAGGAGTAATTTGGTCTTTTTAATATACTTGTGGGAAGAAAATTGAACAGTAGTAGTTTTATAACAGTGAATAGTTATGAAGTCAACTAATGTGTAATTCTCAACCTACAGGTTGTGTAGGAGAATAAATGGCAAACTGTACTTAGATACTGTAAAATATATTTTAAAAAAGCAATTTAATCATGCAGTAGCTGGCATTCTATAAACTCAGAAGGTATAATTAAGATTATACATCCTACACAAACTAAATCTTTTGCTGTTCTAAAACAAACAACCTCAAAAAGAATCAAATGCATTTGTAATTGTCTGGAACAAGACAACAGAAGTACAGTCTTAATAGTATCAAAGCTCCGAGGTTTGTCCAAACCAGGATCTGTTGCTTCTTTTTCTAATTGCAAATCAAAATCATGGTTTATAATGATGAGATTGAATTATTAGTATAAATGTTAGCTTACAAAATGCATATTCTGCTATTCCCAAAATTTACAGAGTGATTTGCAGATAAAGTTGCAAGCTGTTAAAGGTAAATTCAACTACATATATTTCATTTTTTGCTGCTTGGGAAATAGGAAGAAATACGTAAGAGCCGGACATAGAAAAGTTTATAGTAAAGAAAAGGGAAACATCCATCACTGGACTTCAAAATAATTCTCTGTCTTATTTATACTGCATACTATTCAATATATTTGGTAGGAGGTTATATTCACTGAAAGAATAGACTTAGAATACTCTTAGGACATACAGACAATGGTAGCCTTTCATTTAGGTACCTCATCAGCTGATCCTTGAAGTTATAGCACATCTAATCACAAACGGAATCATGTCTAGTAGCTATTTTTGTAACTATTCATTTCATGAATTTGCCTATGTATTCTCAATTGTTCCTGTACTATATACTGTGTGAAAAAAAGCACTTCAATTACTTCTCTTGAATCTTCCACCATTTCTAATATTTCTTCTCAATACGTAATTCAGTTCCTCTAATAGAAATTTAAGAAAATAAGATGTGGGAAATTATTTCTATCTGTGCATATGAGGAGGTAGATTTTAGCTATATTGGATAGAAACTGGTTTAGTTTTGTAGATTACAAATTGTGTCCAGAATAGGCATTGCTTTATAATTGATAGTGACTGCAATGACTCACTATTAAAGATATTTTATGACCATTCATTTAGTATCCATTCAAAGTTACAACAGTACTGAAAAAAGATATTTATGACGGGTCCTCATACTTACAACCATCACAGTCTATCCCCACAGTCACATAATTGCAATTTGTGATCACCATTTGTGACCTTCTCAGCTGATTTCCAACAAGTAAAGTCAATTGGGGAAGCTGGACTTGCTTAATGACTGCAGCAAAAAAGGTAGTAAAATGAGGCACATTTATATGATGACTCACTTAATGACCATATCACTTAGCAACACACTTTCCAGTCCCAATTATGGCAATAATTTGAGGACTACCTGAATTTATTAAAAATACAGAAATTCCTTTTTTTAAAGCTTCTGTGTGAATAGGAAGGTGCTGTTTTAGGGAACCAATTAAAATTAAAGTGAATTTTAAAGCAGACACAATTTTTTCAGGCTCACATGGAATTTTTTCTTGGGAAGTGTTAGACAATTGTTAGCTTAAATCCTGAAAAGCATGCTTGTCTCACATTGCAATATGATTTGGTGTTGGAATACATGGTGGATTTAGATTTAGGGATTAAATTAGTGCTTTTGAATTTCTTTTCAAAAATATTGCAAAATAGGCCGTTACCTACAGCTGATGAGCTCCAAGAAGAGCGAAACCTGTTAAAATAGGTCCTGTAGTATTGGCCTTAATAAGTAGTTCTTTGCATGGTCATATCTACACCTGCCCTTTTAAATTCTTTACAAATGAGCAAACCAGATAAATTCTAAACGCAGCCTGGAATCAATTACTACTCAGTGCTGGAGTTTATTAGGACTTTACCTGGTATTCCTGTTGATAAATCAATCAAATGTTTGTCAATGCACAACATGTGTACAATGAAATTGAAAGTAATAATAATCTGGCTGTTCTGAGCATTTTTCTATTTTTCTTCATCATAGCATCTACTTTTCTGCACCGTGCTTTCCTGTTTTAATGTACAACATATTTTCCTGATTTAATCTCACAAGAGAAATGAGACAAAGAAAGCCAAATGGTATTTTTAAAATTTAACACTCCAAAAACATAATTGGCATATCTGTGAAGAACCTGAAGAGATATTGCTGGTTTGGAATAATTGTTCAGGTAGTCCTTAAGTTGCAGCCATAAATTTGGACTATAGCGTTCAAAGTTACAACAGCATTGAAAAAAAGTGACTTGCAAACTTTTATATTGTATATTTATGTAGTGTACAGTATATTGGAGGTGGAGACCTTTGCAAACTGTATGCAATGAAATTTCATTTTAATGTATGCCTATTAGTGTACATTCAAAGTGACAATAAAGTTATTCTAAATCTAAAGTCCTTTCACCTAAAATCGTTGCGGCATCTGTGATCAAAATTTGGGTGCTTGGCAACCAACATGCATTTACGACTGTTGCAGCCTCTTGTGATCATGTGATTGCCATTTGTGACTTTTCCAGCCGGCTTCTAACAAGCAAAATCAAGGAGGAACTTGGATCCTCTTAACGACTGCATAATTCACTTAACTGGCAAAATAGGTCATAAAGCAGGGCATGATTCATTTAACTGCCTTGCTTAGCAACAGAAATTCTGTTCCCAATTGTGGTTGTAAGTTGAGGACTACTTGCATTATGTATAAATAAATAAAATAAATAAATACATACATACATACAAGCATACATACATACATACTGTTACTAATGATCTTGAATTCCTGGAGATTTTTTCAAAATAAAAATCAATGTGATAGTAAAAATAAAAGTTAGTTCTTAACTATACTTAAGGAATCTCATATAACTCAATCTTGATGCTCTCATTTCTTAAACTGATTTAATAATGAAGCCAACAGGAAAGGACCAACCATCTGTTCATTGCTGCAAGATGTTTTTTTTTCCAAGAATACCCTCACCATGAAAATTATAATTGCACAATTAGGGGCTATATTTAACAGAATAGTTCCTAATAGAAAAAAGAGCTTGTGCTCTAGTGCAGTGTAGGAAGAAGCACATATTTCCCCTTTTGAATCTCCCAACCCAACAGTAAATTAACTGTTCTTCAAGCTTATTTGCTGGTGGTTGCGTTGGAAAGTTAATTATTATGGATCTTTATTAAAACAGAGGTGTGGAAGTGTCTTTGAACTTCTGGTATTTGTTTCCTGCTCTGCATAAACTCAGTGAATATATATAGCAGTCTATATTTCCCAGTGGCTTCTTTTGGTTGTTTATTTGGCTATTTTCTGCCATAACAGATGAATAATGAAAGAGTTTGTGAATTTCTTCTTGGTGTCTAAATTCTCTCCAAACAGCCTGCTAAAATTCTAAATTTGTTTTTAGGATGATTGAAGAAAGTGGAAAGAGGAGGAGGACGATGGCAGAGAAAAGACAGCTCTTCATGGAAATGAGTAAGTAGACGTCTTAAAAGTTTGAAACTTAATTTAAAAATGTGTTGCAGCCTCTTCAAAGAATGTAATCAGATCCTGTTTCTTCTAAAATTATTACATTGAGATAACAGGGTGTTGTTTCTTGAGAGTTTGTGCCTTAGTTTCAGTCTTTAATAAGATTTAGTGGTGACCTTATATTACCTTTTCCCATTCCACACTTATTTCTCACTGTGATGGTAAATTTTGATTCTAGAATGTACTATTTCACTCCTTAAGCTAAATTTTGCCACATAAATTCAAAATGTAAGAAAAATACAAAAATGCCACAGATAAATATTCTTTTTAATATGATAGTTAACCATGCATTGGTTACTTTTTGTGTGGTGGAATAATTGAACACACAAGAGAGAGGGTGGAGTATGATACAGAATTAGTACAATCCAGATGAAAGATTACAACTCCTTAAGGATTAAGTTTCTAATGTAGTTGCAGTTAATTATGTAATAAAAGTCCTCTTTTCATTTTAAAATTGAAATACATGTGGGGAAAGCTCTTTGCTTTTAATTTGTAGGAGCTCAGAATTTTGATGTCATCCGACTGTCAACATATCGGACTGCCTGCAAGCTGAGATTTGTGCAAAAAAGATGTAATTGTAAGTAGAAATTACTTTGGAGGGAGGGTAGAACTTGATAAAGACATGTTTCAAATTAACAGCTCAAACTAATTTTTCAGTTATGATGGAAAATGTGAATGTTTTGAAATGATAATAGAAAATGAAAAAAAAAATCCTTCTCTTTCTGTTTAGTGGAAGAATTACTGTTATGATGCTTTTTAAGTTTGTATAGGATTTCCATAAAAACTAATATTATTCTAAACATTTTGTTGGTCATTATTGGTTTTGTACAATATAATAAATATTAAGCCTGAGTTAACAAACACAATATTTTATATAAATGTGTTTATGTAGCATGTTATGTTCAAAATATAAGGTATACTTTTTATTTGTTTATTTACCTATGTACAGGTATACCTATATTACCTATATACAGGTAGTCCATACTTACCCACCACTTGTTTAATGACTGTTAGAAGTTGTGATGGCATTGAACAAGTGTACTTATGACCAGCCCTTGACGTTCTGGCCATTGCAGTGCTCCTGCAGTCACCTGATCACTGTTCAGGTGATTATACTTTCAGCAGTTGCAGCACCTTTCCTGCTAGCTTCCTGCAAGCAAAATTAATGGGGAAGATGGCGGAGGAAGGTTGCAAGTTGCTTCGGTAAGTTCCCCACCCTTCCTGCATAGCTAATTACACCCTCCCACCTTGAGCCTTCCTGTACTCACACGTACCTACCAGCGATCTTCTTCCCAGCCTCTCTGTGCTCACATGCATCCCGCTCCCTCCTTCCTAGATCTTCCTATGTTGTACATGTTGTACCCATCACCTTCCTTCCCCTGACTTTCCTGTGCTCACATGCATCCTGCACCCTCCTTCTCAAGCTTCTCTAAAGTTGTAAGCACCCCACATCCTTCTTCCTGGGCCTCACTGCTTTTGCGCACACCCTGCACTCTCCTTCCGTAACACTTATGCACTTGCACTTGCATCTCGTGATTTTGATGACAACCAGGATTGCTGGGATGGCCATCCCTAAACAATATGATCATGTGACATTGCACTTTATGACCATAGCACTTATGCCAATGCCATTATAACCCAAAGAATAGTAATAGCACTTAGACTTATATATCACTTCACAGTGCTTCACAGGCCTCTTTAAGCAGTTTACAGAGTCAGCCTATTGCCCCCAACAATCTGGATCATCATTTTACTGACCTCAGAAGGATGGAAGGCTGAGTCAATTTTGAGCTGGTCAGGATTGAACTGCCAGCAATCGGCAGTTAGCAGAATTAGCTTGCAATACTGCATTCTAACTATTGTGCCATCATGGCTCATACCTTTACAATTTTCTTTTTTTTCAAAAAGAAAAAGAAAAAGAGGTGAAGTGTTTACTCTAGCTGCTGGATCTAGACAGCTGAAAGTGAAAAGAAAAGATATGAGGAGTAGATTTAAACTTCATCTATGCTATTTATAGAATTTGACAAAAGATCTGGTGCTCATTTCTTTTACACGCTGTTCACAGCAATCAGAATTTAGAAATATTTGTCCTAACTTATTACTTGCCTCTGTTTGCTTTACCTTGACTTGATTATCAAACATTGAAAAATGCAAGTGTAACAAAAAGTGGAAAAGGTACTTCCATCTTGGTCAATGTAGATAATGTGGGTCTTTTATATGCAATCCAGAGGACTTTTTACATCTTCCACACTGATCTCTATCAAATGATGGTGATGTAGAAGTTAGAGAAAATCCTCAATACATACTGTGTTTATGTTCTTGAAAACAAATGTGCCTGAATAAAGGCAAATGCTGTGGCAGCAGAGAAAAAATTGCCTTTCATGAAATAGGAGATAGTATTCAATGTGGATTGTATACTCTAGTAGTTCTTAAAAGACCCAAAGCTGAGAGTATAATGTACAATTTTGAAGATATGCCAAAAGGCAGGGCAGGAAAAATGTGTTAGGAGGAAGTATGTGTAAATTATGATTGCAGTATGTGGTGCAGAGCAAATTCCTGTTGTTAAAAATAATGTTGCAAGAAGAGGGTGTTTAACGAATACATAATAATATAGCATAAAGAAATTGAAGATGATGGAGAGCTCATGTTGGCATTACCAACATGAGTGTGTTCACTGGAACAAAAGAAACTGTTCCCTTCAGTTAATTATTAACTTTTAGAGCAAAGCCTGACAGTTTCATTCATGGAATCACAAAATTCTAAGGGTCGTGGCACTGCGAATTTTAGAATGCTTATTTTAAGAAGTTCCTAGGTAAATGTAAGTTATTTTTATGAAGGAAATATCTGCAATTTGTATTATTACAAAATTGTCTTATAGAAGATTTTCCTTTTTTAAACATATATAGTTAGAATTGTAACAAATTTTATAGTAGCAATAAAATCATAGAAATGAAAGAGACTGTTTAGCCCTGGAGTCCAAGTTCTGGCTTACTGCAGGAGTTAATTATTAAGGCATTTTTAACAGATGGTTGTCTGGCCTCTGCTTGAACATGTGAAGAGGAACCCATCACCGCCCTGGATAATTGGCACCGCTGTCAAGCTGTTTTCATAGTTAGCATGCTTTTTCCTAACATTCAGCCAGAAACTGTCTTCTTGTAATTTAAACCAAGGAATGTGCAAAATTTACTGATTTGATAGTGGAATATTCTGGAGAATTTTCTTCTGGACCATGCCATTTTGGAACATCATGTCTGGGACACTTCAAATTGCTTCAGATTTGTTGGATTTGCTTCTGGAAATCAATAAATTATTTAGTACAGTAGACCAGAACAGGAACAGAATGTTCTGTAGTTGGGTGTTTTATTTTAAATAAATCAGTTTATTTAATTTACTAGGGGATAATGTCAGGGTTGACATTATCAGACTTTAAGTTTGACAGATATAGGTTGCTCCAATCTCAAACAGCTTACTGTCCCTAGTTAATTTATTATTTATTATTCCATGAAATAATGTTTGGGATGACAGAGGACCGACCTTGACTATATGTATGACCTTCCTGTAGTCTCCGCCCCCCCAAGGCTAGACATTTCCATTTCTTTCCATTTCTTGTAAGTTTCCACACTATGATTCTCCTATTCTCCTATCCAGTTTCTTTGCATCTTCCTGAAATAGTGGTCCTCAGATGTAGATAAATACAGTACATCAAGTAGCCTCAAACCAATGCAGAATATAGTAGTAATATTACTTTCTGTGATTTAGGAACTATATTTCTATTGAGGCATCAATAAGCCTCAATTTGTTTTTAATACAGTAGTTAAGTCACACTGGTAACTCTTTCAGCTATAATTCTGAGGTACTTTTCACACATTTTATTACCAAAGCAGGTATTCCCCACCCTGTATCTACCTTCCTTCCTTCCTTGCTTGCCTAGTACAAGTAAACAGGAAATGTTCCACTTATTGTAAGGTGTGGCGGCAAAATTACATGGAGCTGAACATTTTCAGTGAGTTCCCCCTCAGGTGAAAGTAACCCCCCATGCTCATGGCTATTCAGAAACTTTTAAGATCTAGCTTTTCTAAATGACTTTTGGGGTTTGATTTTGGTCTGAGCCAGACATGGCACTAGAAATTTTTTTCATTGTTCAATGTTGTCATTTTTATTTTTGATTGTTCTATATATTGTATAATCCCTTAATTACTTACTGCTTAGAGTCCATAGATTGAAGCAATATAGAAACCTTACAATTATTTTTGTGTAATATTTATAATATTTTTGTTTTTTCCAGTACATCTTGTGGATATCTGGAATATGATTGAAGCCTTCAGAGATAATGGCCTTAACACATTGGACCATAATACAGAGATCAATGTATCTCGACTAGAAACTATCATTTCCTCCATTTATTATCAGTTGAATAAACGCCTTCCATCTACTCACCAGATCAGTGTGGAGCAATCCATCAGCCTTCTCCTCAACTTCATGATAGCAGCATATGATAGGCAAGTGATTTTGTTCTTGAAGCAATCTGTGTTTCTTCTGACCAAAAACTAGTTGGACTGGAGTAAGCCTGAGATCTATAGAACCAACTGGGTCAGTAGGGGCAATCTCAGCTTTTCTAACTATGGTTTGTTGAATTGACAATAGTCAGTAGTCAAAACCAAAGCTTCTAAGACAAGATTTTTCTTACAGGTAGTCCTCGGTTAACAAAACAGTAGTTGGGACAGAAGTTCTGCTGCTAAGTGATACATAACTGTGTTTCTTAATGATGGCAGTTGCAGCACTTCCTAGTTGCTGTCATTAAGCAGACTCTAAGGCCATCATTAAGTGAGGACATCATGTGGTCACTATTTGTGAACTTCTGGCTTCCCCATTGACTTTGCTTGTATGAAGCTGGCAAAGAAGGATGCAGATGCTGACCAAGTAACTCAGAGATGCTGCAGAACTCCAAGAACTGGTCATAAGTACTACTCAGTCAACCCCAGTATAAGTATGGTTACTGAACAGGTGGTCATTAAGCACTGATCAACTCTATTTTTCTTTCTTCTTTTCCCTTTTGTGTGTTTTAGGTTGTAATACTGGGAGTGGAAACGCCTTTACTTTTTCTTGACTGTAAACTACTATAGTAAATACTATGCTTTTTTTTACTCAGAAGCTTTCCATTTAAAATATGAAATTGTATATGTACTTGGTAGCCAATACATTTTTTCTTATTAGTCATTGCCTGATGAGAGTGCTTTTCCTTTTTCACTGGGCAACTGGCAATCTTTCCTCCCACATAAGGGAGAAGACTAAGTAGATCAAATGGCATTTTTCTGTAGAAGTTTAAGTCCTTTATATGGGTTTTTTAAAAAAGGAAAATTAAACATCCTCACTTCCCTAAGAAACATTATTGTGAGCATCTGTTTTGAAACCTGGGTTAAAAATGCCTGGGAATTATACTTTTTTCTTGATCTTTGTTCCTAGTCTGCAAATGCCAGTTTGCAGACAGACTTTTGACTTTTTACTTGCTGCTCTAGCTTCCAGATGATAAAAGAGAACAGATCTGTGCCAAGCTTTCATTTGGGTCTTTGGAATTTTTTTTATTTTGTTGTGGAGGTGGAAGTTGAAAGAAAGAAAAATTTTCAGTTCCTGCAAAGGGAAGGAAGCAGGCTGTGAACAACTGAAGGAAGTAAAAAGCAGTCTATTGACAAAGCAAACTTGCTTAAAATAAATTTGTAGTTAGTTGGAAGCAGAATAGGAATTTTATTGACTGGGAATTATTTGGAAGGATTCATTTGCAAGATGAGGAATAGAGGCTAAGACTTCAACATTTATTTAGCAGCTATATTTAATTTAAGAAAATGGGGAGAAGCAAAAGAGATTGGTGGGATCGAGTCATCATGTTTGGTCATTTCGTTTTAGCCATAAATAAAAATATGATTTTTGTAATAGAGTTTGCTCTACCTGATTCAGTTGTCTCAGCTACAAATTTTCACAGTTTTAGTCACAAATTGACTTCTGTGGACCTCACTTCATATTTAAGAGGTCTATAAGGGGGCATGCATAAGTGCGCTAACGTGCCTATTGTCCCTGTCATTTTATTTTTATATTATTCGTGTTTTTGTTTTTGTTTGACAAATTATAAATATAAATAAATAAACTGCTGAATAAGCCCATCAGAATATAAAAACAGACTTATCCAAAAACTTCTTACAAGCTTTTTTGTTACTGTGATGTATAGCAACCTGAACATACTCTTACGACTCTTAGTTACTAAGATCTCATCTATAGTCTCTTGGTTTGGAAAAGATATAAGAAGTACCATGCATATAATATTTAAATTGTCACTGATTGTATCAGTGTCTCTTGATAGAGATACTAATATAGAAAATGACAATATTGGTGAGGCAACTGATATCTTCTCAAATCTACACACAGCCAGCTAAGTGAAACTGTCTTTGTATATAGCTCGGAACACTGAGGCAATCAAGAACTACAAACAGAATCTACCATAGAATTAACACAAATAACTCTGTAGAGTTAACATTCCATAACAATTATTGTATAAGCAGAATTCTTTTTTCAAATAGAAGATATGTGCATTTTAGGTATCTGAACTTGATTTTAACAATCTCAGAAATTGCTTGTGTTGTATAATAGATGAGGTGGATTCCTCTTCAGTTCACTTAGCTCTCTTTCTCTATAATATTTTTTTCCTAGCAGAAAAGTAGGTTTTTGGACAAATATTGTTACATATTGTCCTGTTGAATAAAATGGTAGGTGTCCATAAATCGGATGCTTTCTTACTCCAGCAGTAATTTAAAATTTCTTATGTAGTGAGTATGGCTTATCTTTTACAGTGAAGGTCATGGAAAATTGACAGTGTTTTCCATAAAGGCAATGTTGGCAACTATGTGTGGTGGAAAAATTCTGGACAAGTTAAGATGTGAGTATTTTGACTATTTTGAGTCAATAATGTATTATTAAAATTTTATGGTCAAACACCAAGTTTGTGGCATTTAAAACACTTACTTTCATCATTGCTTTTTTGCCATGGGATAGAATGATATAATATAACATTATAGCAATACCTATAGAACTTAGAGTTATATACCGCTTCATGGTGCCTTTACAGCCCTATCTAAGAAGTTTACAGAGTCAGCATATTGCCCCCAACAATCTCATTTTTGGAAGGATGGCTGAGTTAACCTTGAGCCGATGAGAATCAAACAGTTGGCAGTTGGCAGAATTAGCCTGCAATACTGCATTCTAACCACTGCGCCACCAAGGTTCTTATTATTATCCTTTATTTTTTTTTCTTTTATTCAGGGAATATATTTATTTGCAAAATAGTAAGACTTTACAACAAATGAAATGTCTGCTCAATGCTAGGTTTAAAATATTAAATATAACATATTGCGAGCCACATTTTCATATCTGCCTTTGATTTGTATTTTAGATAGTTTCTCTCAAATGTCAGATTCCAATGGGCTGATGATATTTTCAAAATTTGACCAGTTTCTAAGAGAAGTTCTGAAACTTCCTACAGCTGTTTTTGAAGGGCCTTCTTTTGGCTACACAGAAAATTCTGTGCGAACATGTTTTCCTCAGCAGGTAAGCTTTATGTGAGATGATACACAGGGCTTTAAGTGCTGACTTATATTCAGTGTCCTCCAAATTAATCATAAAAGATGAGTCTATGAAAGACTAGTTCCCTTTCTAGTTTTCTAGAAAGCTCCCTGATGTGTAGGGTGAATATATTCATTCGTTCATCATCCTAAAATAAACACACGTTTCTAAAATGTATTTTAAAGAAAAGTATAGTAGAAGATAGCAATGCTGCTTTGCCTTCTAATTAAACAACCTATTTTATAAATTTATTGTGACCGTAACAGGAAAATAAATGTGAGTATATTGAGACTAAAATTCTATCTAGTTAAAAAACACAATTGAATCAGAATTTCTTTATTTTTAAGATTAGTGGATTTTGGAGAGAGAAGGATGCGTTGGTTTCTTACAACATTGGGTAGTTTTTTTTTTTTTACTCACTTATTAGTCCAATTCTGCTTGGCTTTCCTCTGAACTTTTATTTCTTTGTTTTGCAGAAAAAGGTAACATTAAATGTGTTCTTAGACACCTTAATGGCTGACCCTCCACCCCAGTGCCTTGTGTGGCTACCTCTGATGCATAGACTTGCCCATGTTGAAAATGGTATGTGGCATATATTCCTGAATCATTCTTTACATATACAGTATGAGCTTTGTGCTTCCAAGTTCATTGAATTATCTATTGCAACCTGGGTGCTCTTTAAGTCAAACTTGTGTGACTTAATGTGCAATGGAATGATATGAGTGTCTGAACATTCTGTGAACTTGTTTCATAGAACCTTAATATTTAAGTCTATCCTTTAGCATTCATTATTGAGTTTCACTTTAGTAAGAAATTTTTAAAAGTGTTGTTGAATCAAGTCTAGGCCCAATCTAATCCAACATTCTACTTCTCAATATCTAATCATTACTTCTGAAATGTAGACTATGAGTTGACCTATACTTCTCGACAACTGGTAGACAACAGCATACTGTTTATGGTCTTGTACAGTTCCATTGGTGTTAGCCGGGGTGGAATGCTATCGGTTCTGCCCTTACGCAAAACGTAATCACCAAACCGGTAGTAACATTGGTTGAATCCCACCCCTGGTGTTAGCTAATTATAACCTTACATTCCATGAATTTGTCTAATTTCTTTTTAAGTTTTCTATTGGGTCCCTTCATAAACTGTTTTAAATGAACCATTCTTGTATCTGATGCCTTCTTTAGTAGCAGTGGCATGGACAAGTTCATTTAAGTACACCTTTCTTGATCTGCAATAACATTAATTTTCATGATTCTCCTCTTTATTTTCTTAGTCAAATTTGGTTATGAATTTTTTTTCTAGGAGGGCTGATTACATCTATGTTGAACTTAATAGCAGTGAGGTTGTTATTTCCGAGAGGCTCATTAACAGTTACACCTCATACCCAGTTTTGGGGGAGGAATCTCTAATAATTCCCATTGACTGTCTCTAAGAGAATCATAATCTCAACTTCAGCTTCCTAAATCTTAATTTAGGAATATTGCATAGTGTAGCAATTATAGACAGGAAATATGAGCTGGAAGATCCCCTCCCTCCATTCCAAGCTTGGATTGGTCTTGTACTTCTACAAAATATCTGCTAAACTTAGAGACTAATCAGTTTACCTGAGTCTCTGTCTAATATTTCATAGCTATTAAACTCTTCACTTGCTAGTATTTGGGGTAGTGTGTGTTATGGTTTGACTTATTATCTAAAACTACAAAAAAGAAGGATAGAACTAGAAGTTTATAGACAATTTATGACTCCTATTTAAAGTACAATATGTAGAATTCTCACAGCACTAGACTCACTGAGGACTGTTTATGCAGCTTAGGACGAAGAGGCCTGTTTTTCCAGATGCAGTTCTTACTATTTCTTTTCCCCCCTTTTATCTCCTTCAAGTCTTCCATCCTGTGGAATGTTCTTACTGCCGATGTGAGAGCATGATGGGCTTCCGATACCGATGCCAGCAGTGCCACAACTATCAACTCTGTCAAAACTGCTTTTGGCGTGGCCATGCAAATGGCCCTCACAGCAACCAGCATCAAATGAAAGAGCATTCCTCTTGGGTAATCACTCTCTAATGTACTCTTTTCTCTAGAGGCAGGTCTGGTGCCTTTCTAGTATGTGAGTCATAAGCAAGGAACATTCCACAGTCTGCAGCCATAATGGGGAGAATGATGGACAGACCAGACAACATACTTTTTAGTCCTATTGATCCTTTGGTTAAAATTGAAAGCCCCACAGCACCCCGAGGGCTTGAACAATGCAATAAAAATATGTCAGGAGTTACAATTCAGATGCACTCTGAACAAGTTTTCTTTATGGTATGTTTAGAGGCCGCTTGTTATGAGTTGTTTCTATAACATAGATAAGGATGGGGATTTTTAATTAGTATACTATAGTACCTTTGTTAGTTTTGGCTGTAGGAACAAGCTGGTTATCTTTTGGTTGCTTTGTTACTCAGCTGGATCCCTCTCTGGTTCCTACATCTGGTCTCTGGGCTGGTGTTGGAATCTCCTTGCCTTATGGTACTGGGTGATTTCAGTCTCCATGCCTTGGCACCTGGTCAGGGAAAGCTTAAGAATTCATGGCTGTCATAGCAAGTATAGTCTTAGCACATGCAATCTGTAACCTATCACACTCTGTTGTCATACATGAGACCTTGTGTTTGCCTTGGAGCAATTAAATTATAATCCTAATATAAAGAGTATTCCTGCATTAAGGAAGTTAAGGAAGGAAATATCTCAAAAAAGTGTTATAATAGGAAGGTAATTTAACTTTTTGAGCATTATTATCAATAATTTTGGCATAATAAATGGAGCAGGATCATTTTTGTGCCCAATAGTTAATTTAGGGAATTTATGGAGCGGCACCGTGGCCTAGAGGTGAAGACGCTCACTTCCCACCTAGCCCCTTGCAGTTGCCCCAACTCCACCCTGAAAAAGGGACTACAGGATCATGAAAGGGAAAAAAAAAAGCTAATTTAGGGAATTTATAAACATGTAATTTAGGGAATAAAGGCTGCCTTTTGTAAATATAACAATAGCAGAACTCAGGTTCAATAGTTACTTTAGGAAATTTATAAAATACCACTGGTATATTTTTATAAATACTATATTTTTAGGATTATCTATTTTAAATAGCACATTCTGTGTGGCCATGGGTATGCAATGAGATGCTCAGCCTCTTTCTCCAAATCCCAATCTATCCTTTCACTGTTTCCATCCTAAATTCTTTCTAAAGTTTGCCCAGTTGTGCAGAGGTTGTGTTTGAAGAGATGACTGATGATTTATTACACTTTAATGACAGCCTTCTCACTCCAATGCATGTTCCATGGATTTGCCTAGTAGAATTAAGTAGTATTTTAAAAGAGAAAAGGTTTTCTTTGGCATCAATGACTTGAAGCTGGCAGGGAATGCTTGGGAGGCTGTAAACGAGACTGAATTATCTGTTTATTTAATAAAACTACTTACTGGCAGGTGAGATACCTTGCTCATAAAACTATTAGTAAAAATAGCTTAGCCTGGAGCTAAAAAAAATAGTTCAACAACATGCTGATGGTCAGTATTCCTTTTCTTGGCAAAGGATTTGAGAGAATGCCAGGTGATGAATTCAGTTATTCATAGTAAAAGCTGCGTTTTGTGATCCATTTCATTTAGGTTTCAGATCTGTATTTAATTATAGAAACTGTTATATGATTTTTGCAGAGAGATGGCAGATAACCAAGAAATCTATTCCTATTTTTTTTTAGATTGCTCAATGGCTTTTGCTACTAAACATAAAATTGTTTTCTGGCTAAACTGTTTGAATCATGTCTGGAAACATTAATTGATGACTTTGCTAATTCTGTTTTATTAACCATCCTGATTATATTATCAGAATCTTAATATTTAGGGAACATTTTCCCTTGTAGGATTAACTGAGTTATATGGAAGAGATTCTGTAAGATGTGATGGAATACCTAATAGGGAGGGCAGCAAGACAAGACAGGGAAGGGAGAAAACATGGCCAGCACAGAAGAAAAAGTTCTTGAACTCCGGAGAAGGAGAATGCATTAATAATAAAAAGACTCAAAGTGACTCTGCCTTAATTACATTAGCTTATATAAAAGAATTACTTTAATAGCATTACTATATTCTGTTGTATTACCCCGCTAGCAATCCAGTAATGCACTTGTCAGAAATCTAAGCAGTTCTTGTTACTGGAGTTTGTCAGCTTTGATAGATACTGTTATACACACCTGTGTTCGCATGTGTATATGTGGATTTATCCATAGTATGGATGATGTACCTTCATAATTATAGCCATGAGCAATGGTTACTGTATTGCATAAGCAACTCAGGTTATTGGATATGAAAAGCAATTTCCTTCTTATAATAACTTCTTGTATATAGGTTGGCCTGGCAATTACATATTGTTTTCTTTAAAGTTACAGTGGACTATTTCATTTCAGTGCACTTACTGGTATAAGTAGAATTTCAACATAATGCCTGTCCAGCAGTCACTTGTTTTCCCTGTATGTTCTAAACATTTCACCACATAATAAATTACTTGGGCTATGATCCAGAATGTCCACTTCCCTTTGTGATTAGGTGAGACAAAGCCTTCTATGCTCACACAGTAGCAGAACTCTGGTCATTAATATTTTAAGCTCTCTTGTGCTTCATATGAAATGTTTTAGACGTGACTGTATTTATGTATCCAAGAAAAAAGCCAAGTGTTTTCAGCATTATTTCTATGGCCATTTATAGTTTAAATTTTGTTGATAGGTGATGCAAAGTTGGAATATTCCAACGAAGGCTTATGGTACACTTCAGATATATCTGATTTATCATATTGATTGTGTACTCCTCCTTTTAATATCGATTTGTATTTAAAATAATATGGCCGTTATACCTGTCATATTATTTTAAATAAAAATAGATATTAAAAAGAGGAGTGCACTACTCACATATGATAAATTGTTTTCACCTTAGTTACAAATGTAATGTGGCATACTTAAGCCACTGTAAGCCATTCTGTTAGGTGACTTGAATATCTTTATTTTAACAGGTTATGATATGAAAGTAACTTTAAGAACATGCTTTTTTCTTTCTTTCCATTCTGTTGGAGATCCTAAGAGCACTAAATAGTGGAATAAAATACTTTCCATAAATAAGTAAATAAATAGTAAGAATCTGATTGTGTAGTTCCCTAGTTCAAATGTAAAACAAGTTGAATATAACTTCAAAATGAACATTACATGAAAATTCTGATGACAAGTGTAAATACAACTAATGTGAAATATGACAAGTATAAATGGCATTAAGTGACAAATACCTTTTCAAACAAAAAAAAAACAAATAAGGAGGTTAACTTGATTTCTGTAGTTCACATAGGAAATCCTATTTTAATGAGTGGCACAAACCACCATCAGTTATTGTTATAACATTAGGATCTCAAAGTCTTAATTTTTTTAAACAAGATTTTGAGTAGAAAAAAATGCAGATTTCTTTTTAAAACAATGTCAGCAAAATTAACACATTGTGATATCCATAATAGAACTGATTTATTAAAAATCTTGAACAAACATGTCAATATTGTTAACATTGTCTATCGCAAGGACTTTCAAATTGGCTTTAAAAAGAAATTGACCAGAATATGATTGTGTGTATTTTTTAATCAAAGTGCTTTTCAGACTCAAACTATACATAGATTAATTACAGATCTCTGTTGGTTATCCAGGGTAAAACATCTAGCGCCTCTTGATTTCATCTATGTTGGTTTATTTCTACTACAAGTAATAAGATTTCTGTATTCTGTTAGTGGTTTTAAACCAGCTTTTAAAAAATTGACAAGTTTAAGATATGTGGACTTCAACTGCTGGAATTCCCCAACTGGCATCTCCCCATTTCCGCACTTATAAAAAGAATTTATGCTGATATACCACCTCCAGCTGGGTTATATTCATTCAAGTATATCTCCTTTCTGTTTTAATTGTTGCAGGGTATTACACAATGTTGTTTTTGAAAGTAGTCTAGAAACTGGCAAATCCAGTGAACCTGGAAACAGAATTGATAGCAATGGCATAGTATCAGCAGTTCATGTTGTCATATTTTATACAGCACTTTGAAACGATTTACTCTGCATCCCTTCCACTAATATTAAAGCCATTTTGTGTGTTGTATTTATGCCAACAGTTTGAAGAAATATTGCAGCAGAAACTATATAAATGCTTAAAGTGTCTGCTTCTCTCTTTTTTTAACAAATGAGTGGAAATCCACCAATTTGCTTCGGTGAAGAAAGAATGTATACAAATCTGTTTAAAGGCATCGTTTACATTATAGCATATCTCACTGTGATGTATTTAAGTTCCATCTTCCTGTCTTATCCTTGCCAAATATTCACATATTCTTAAATCCTAAACATTGTCTCAGAATTGAGTACAGTACTGTAGATTTATACTCGCTGAACTCAATTATCTTTCACACTGTGACAAGAGTAGCTCTATTTTTTTTAAAAAGAAAGATGGTTTAACACATCTTGTACAATGAGTTCATATGTCACTGCATGCATTTGTGGTTTTTCCTTTTCCCCCAGAAAGTACTTCTTCAGTCAGGGGGGAAAAATTGACTTCTTAATTACGTTGCTAAAAAAAAATCTATGGAAACAAAATATTGGCTTTCCTGATTATGTTCCACTCTTCTGAGTTAAGAGCTCACTCCTCCTCCATGTTAGTCCTTGAAAATAATTTACCTTGTTTGCAAAACAGAGAGTTTTGCATGGCAGAAGATCAGACAGAAAGTCAGAGTGGTTTCTGTCCATTAGCAGAAGAGAATCTGCCAGTGGTATTAACCTTGATGTAAATACTATACTACCACCTGCTGTTCAAAATAACCATCCCCTTTCCTGACTTCTGGAACACCATACCCCTGAGAACTGGAAACCTTTAAAAATATGTCTTTTTGGGGGGAGATGTGGGTGTCAGGAGGTTAATGAGCCCTGTGACACAAGTGCTGTTGTGACTACTGTTATCCTCAGCTTCCACTATATGTATATTCTATATTCTATATGTTTTTCTAATTTTTTAAGTATGTTTGCCGCCCAGAGTTGCTAAAGTTGTGAGGTGGGCAGCCATGCAAACCAATTAAAATAAATAATAAGTAAATCCCTTCCAGCCATGTTCCAATGTTCCATTTCTCAAGAAAGACTCTAGAGTAGAGGTGTCAAATTCAATCCCATTGTGGGCCATATCAGGATTTTATTTGCCCTTTGGGGGACAGAGTAGTCGTGGCCTGGGCATTGTGGCTGACGGGGTGGCCATGGCCAGGGTGAGCCAGGGTGGCATGGGCTGGTCCCTCACTGTCTCCAGTACAGCAACACGGGACAACTCTGGGCTTATTGTGGGCCAGATTTGGCCCACGGACTGCATGTTTTACACTTCTACTCTAGAGCAAGGTATTAGTAAGCAAGTTTGGACATGAGAAATAAGAAAGGAGGGTGGGGGAGTGTAATCTTCTGTTCATCAATACAAATTCTCCTACTATATGCAGTACAGTATTCACAAGGCAGTGAGTTGAGGAGAGAGCATGAGCCATGGGCCTCTTCTAGGAAACCCAGGTATGTCTCCAAGGCTATGGCTATGGTTTGAGCACTGAGAGTTGTTTCTTTTGAGGTTCAATTGCACTCTTATCTAGTGTGCTGCATAGATTGATCTGCTGTGTTAATACTAGTCTCTATGTTTAATTCTTTCTAAAAAAAACAACAGAAATCGCCTGCCAAGAAGCTGAGCCATGCCATTAGTAAATCTCTTGGTTGTGTACCCACTAGAGATCCTCCTCACCCTGTATATCCGGAACAGCCAGAGAAGCCCCTTGACCTTGCCCATATAGTGTGAGTATATATCTTCATTTAAATATGATTTGTTCTGTTCAGTTTGATTTCTTGTTGGTCAGGTGGTGGTCTCTAAGTCCTTTCCCCCCTTTGATATACATGGTGCTTATTGTTAAGGAGAGGTCTAAAAATGAAATAAACTTCAGGCATTTTAGGAAAAAAAAGTATGATTAAGATTTGGGAATATTGAAACGTCAACAGTTGGTTTAGTAATCCTTCAAACAGTACGTTCTGTTTCAAATATTCATATTATCTTAGGACCTGACTAATTTATTATAGGTAGTCCTCAACCACAATTGGGCCAAAAATTTCTGTTGCTAAGCAAGGCAGTTGTTAAGTGAGTCATGCCCCAATTTATGACCTTTTTGCCATGGCTGTTAAGCAAATCACTGCAGTTGTTTAGTGAATCATATGGTCATTAAGTGAACCTGGCTTCCCTCATTTACTTTGCTTGTCAGAAGCTGGTGTTAACACAGCCACTTTTTGAGGGATTTCCAAAAAGACAGCAGGAAAGGGGCCACTTTGGGGGAGAAGATGATCTATAGAGTGAATGCCACAACAGAAAATGCCCCTTTTCTGGGTTCTGCCTGATATAGCTGCTTCATAGATGGTACCCACAGCATACTTCTTCTGCCAGATCTGATGGGATGGGTATTTGTAACTTGGAAGAGGTGGTCCCTCAAATAACCTGTTCCCATGCCACGAAGGGTCAAAAGTCAAAACCATCACCATGAGTTGGACAAGGAAGCAAAGTGACAGCCAATGCAAGTTGAGGAGCAGAAGCGTATAAGGTGTGCTACTTTCAGGTGCTGCCTCATTCTGCACCAGTTGAAGATCCCAAGTACTTTTGAAGGGAAGCTCCATGTAGAGTGTATTACAGCAGTGCAGCCAAAAGCTGATCAGGTCATGAGCCATAAAATTGAGGAAGGGGACTAATTGGCACACAACACAAACCTGTCAAAAGATGCTAAGATGACCACCTGCACAAGCAGAAGTCTAGGAGGACCCCTAAGATGTGCACTGGGTCTATCTAGGGCAGCGCAACCCCATCCAGTACCATCGCAACATAGAAACAGAACTGACAGTAGAAAAAGACCTAGTGGTCCAGCAAGTCTTCCCTTTGAGTTTTTTGTTGTTTTTTATTAATTAATTACTCTTTTGATTGTTGTTTATTTTTTTAAATTTTTGCTGGATGATGGACATGTGTTTATCCCAAGCATGTCTAAACTCATTTACTGATGATTGACGCACTACCTCCGTTGGAAGTTGGTTCTAAGCTTCCTCTACTCTTTCTGTGAAGTAATACTTCCTAATATTAGTTTGAATTTCCCTCCTCTCAGTTTGAGGTTATGCTCCTGTATTCTTGATTTTTGCTTAATATTGAAAATACTGCCTGCCTGATTCACACCCATAATATATTTAAAAGTTTCGATCATATACCAATGATGGAATTGTCCACAAATCAGCAGGCTCCAAAAATCCATAGGCATTCAGTCCTGACAGGGTTCAGCTAAAGCTTGTTATTCCCCATCCAGACCCTCATAGTCTCCAGCCACCAGGATAAGTCATCCACAGCATTGCTTAACTCTTCAGGAGAATAGATGTATAACTGAGTATCATCAAGCGTACTGATGATACCTCATTCCATGGCAACAGATGAGCTCACCTAGCAACTTCATGTAGATGTTAAACAGGAGAGGAGAGAGTACCAAACTCTGGGACACCCCCCCCCCCCAATAGCAGGTGCTGAGGACGGAATCTTTCTATCCCCCATCTCCCCTGACTGGAATCAACCCTAGGGAAAGGAAGAAAACAAGCACAGCTCAGTGCCACCCGCTCCCTATTCACTGAATTGGTTCAGAAGGATACCACGGTCAGTGATGTTGGAGGCTGCTGAGAGGTCAAACAGAGTGAGGATAGGTGAGCCACCCTATCTCACTGTCACTAAAGATCATGTTAAAAAAGCAGCCAATGTTTTTGTCCCACACTCAGGCCTGAAACCAGATTAAAAAGTCTCTAGATCAGGGGTGTCAAACTTGCAGGCCACGGGCCAGATGCATCAGGCGCTGGCCAGGCCTACTCCTGATTTAGCGAAGGGGGGAAAAGTTGTGATACATCATGTGACGACATGACAACGCGAGTTTTGACACCCCTGCTCTAGATAATCCATGTCATCTAGGATTCTGTGAAGCTGTTGTGCAGTCTTTTTCTCAACCATAAGTCTTTTAAAAATCTAAATAAACAATAAAAGCCAGATAAACCCTCTATCTATATTGGCATTTACAAAGAACTACAAAATATGGCTAAGATGTGACTTGCCTTGTAGAACCCAGGTTATTTTTTTCAACATGATCCCTTGGTTGCCTGGTAGTTTTGTTTCTAATATTTTATACCATTTTATTAATTTTAACTGGAATAAAAGTTAAGCTAATCACTCTGCAGCTTTCTAAATCACTTCTATATTTAAAAAAATTGTATTTCCTAATCTTGGGTCTGGATGAGTAAATTCTGGTGTGATTTAAGATACTGTGGTAACCTATAAAACCTTATATGGCTCAGGGCCAGTCTGTTTTAAGACCACCAGAATGGGCTACTCTAGGTCACTTCTCTTAAACAGTGCCATCTAGTGGAATGCAGGAAACATGTCTTCTGTGTTGTAGCACCTGGCCTATGGATTTCTCTGGGATCTGGACAGTCCTAACCATGCTAGCTTTCCAGAAAAACTGGCTTTTCCTTAGGCTCTCCTGTGTTAAATATTCTACTGTTACACAGTTGGCATAATATTGTTATATTATTTCTTGTTTTATATTTATATTTTGAGCCACTCAGTGACCAGATTGAGATGAGGCACTATATAAATTCTATAAACAAGGAAAGAAATCATATCTACTTTCCAGTTGATAGAGTTAAGGAACTTTTATATCCAGAAATTCAGCTTTTTCCTCTTTCAGTTTTCAAGAACACTGAACAATATCTCCATGGAAATTATTTCTCTTTTATTTATCAGTAATATCTAGATCATCTATTGTCACTGTTTGCCTCAGTTTGTATGTTTCTAAAGAACACGGGCATTTGCCCCAAGTTATCTGTACAGCAAAGGCAGACACTAATAATTTCTCATTGTCTTCTATGAATAGTTTAAATTTGTTGTCTTTTGATCTGTGGTGCATTTTGTTCTAATTAGGAAAAAAATCCAGTTCCAAAATGAAAGTTTTCTGCAGTGGTTTCCCTTTCACCGATTAACTACTTTGATGATTCTTGGAATTGATAGAACATTTTCTGACTTGCAATATACTCATTTATAATGTTTTTGCCATTCAACTCGCTAATTTTTTTTTACTAATCTTTTCGATTTGATAATGAATGAGTTTGCAACCTTCATTAGATAAAATATCTTAAGTGTCTAAAACTATATTGTTTAACACAAGGGAATCACTCATGACTTGTACAGAAGTAGAGATGTTTGGAAGAGAAACTATGTATTATGGTAGAAACTAAACAGCATTACTGTTTTCTCAGGCTAAACTTGATGACACGATAGATGAACTCTCTGCTGAAGTTTCTTACTTAGATTTGCTCTCTAAAGGGAAGCATAAAATATACAGTATATCAATATACAGCATGTTTGTGAGCACTTGGATAATTATCCAATTAACAAACTCAACAGGGGCTTGGCACAAGCAAATCATGCCAGATTAACTGTGCTTCTTTCTTTAACAGTAGCTTAATAGATTAGGGGAATACCAGTATATCAGTGGCTTATGAAAATTTCAGTAAAATGGTAAAATATGAGCTAAATAATATGTTCATTAAATGGACTCATACTTGATTGAATAAATGTGTCCAAAGCAAGGTCCATTAATAGCTTTACTTCAGCCTGAAGGGAACTATCCAATGTGATGCTGTGGGGCTCTTTCCTGAGCCCTATGCTGTTTAACATTTTTATCAGTGACTTCAATGAAGGAATTGAGAAGACAGTTTCAAATTTGCAGATGACATAAAACTAGAAGGGATAGCTAATACTGCAGATCAAGGATTTTCAAACTTGGCAAGTTTAAGACTTGTGGACTTCAATTCCCAGAATTCCTCAGCTAACATGGCTGGAGGGGGAATTCTGGGAGTTGAAGTCCACAAGTCTTAAAGCTGTCAAGTTTGAAGACTCCTGCTGCAGATGAAAGGGGGATTGGAAAAAAAAAAAAGATCCAGACAATCTTGAACAGTAGGCTGAAATTAATATAGTGGAATTGAATACAAATAAATGTAAAAGTTCTGCATCTGGGTAGCAGAAAAGAAAGTCACAAACCTAGAATGGGAAGGCTTGGCAGCAGTACATGTAGACAGTATCTGAGTGTCCTTCTTGGATACAAGTTAATCATGAGCCAGCAATACAATGAAACTTTTAAAACCACTCTTGGAAGTACATTAAAAGAATTGTTCCACCAATGTTGTTCTGACCAATCCCATTTGGAGTTAAGTGTCCGGCTTTGGCCACCCCTGTCCAAAAAGGACAATGAAAAATTGGAGCAAATTCAGAAGAGGTTACCAAGTTGTTGATGGATATGGATAAAATCTGTGGGGAAGCATTAAAGGGTATTGGCATGTTTAGCCTCCAGAAAAAGATGACTGAGGGGAGATAGCAATCTTCAGATACCTGAAATGCTGTTACCCAGGGGAACGATTGGAATTATTCTCAGTTGTCCCAAAAGTGCTTTTTCTAGAGGCAACTGGACTTCCTTGTTTTTTCTTTTGAAGACGTTTCACTTCTCATCCAAGAAGCTTCTTCAGCTCTGACAGGATAGTGGGGAATGGGAGGATTTATATTCCTTGCAGACAGCTGGACATTTGCATCCTTTTAGAGGGAAGCACCTGGAGGTTTATCTGTGTCCTCAGGGTCACCTGAGTAGCACTCCTGGTTCCTGTAGTCTGCAATTTTTTTCCTTGGAAATCCATTCCTACTCTCACACGATTCAAAGGGTGTTCATCCCAAATTGTGTAGCTAA